CCAGTTTTAATAACTATGTGAAGTGCATTTAATTTTAGGGAAAAGATGGCTTAGTTTTTACTGAAAGGAACTACTGTTCTGTTTCTTTTGAATGACAGAGCTAAGAATCCCTAAAAATAGATTGCCTATTTGTGAAAACTGCCTTGTATACTTGGAAGTTTCTAAAATGCAAATTGAGATTTTACTCAAAATGTTTAAAAATATAAGTAGTATATATAACAACTTTAACCATATGATTATCAGATGTAAGCTGTGGCATATGTGTGTATGTGTATACACGCATACATGTTATATACATATACACATACATCGCATACATTTACATACATAAAATTTACATGTGTAATACATATTTACACTTATATGAAACATTTGTGTCACCCACAGAATTTAAACTTAGTACCAAAACGCTAGCTTTAGTATCTCAAATATTTAGTATCTCAATTATTATTTAGTAAATAATTGTCGGAAGTGTGTGCTAGTCTGGATTTTACTTATTTAAAATGTAGGAAATGCAAATGACAGGAGGGGGCATCTCTCCTTTGTAAGGTAGCTTTTTAAAAACAGATTTATATTTGGATAAAAAAATCAACCAAGTGCAAAGAAAACGACTGGATATAAGAGCAGCCCATTTAGAAAGGAGATAGAGGCTTTACTTTACCTAGATCTCAATATAAGGTAATTATTAAAAATAAAGATATCATCTTAGGCTGCATTAATATCAATACAGTATCTTCAACAAGAGATATTGTATTTTTCACTTAAAAGCAAGCCCTGTGTAGGCTGGGCACAGTGGCTCACGCCTGTAATCTCAGCACTTTGGGAGGCTGAGGCGGGGAGATAGATCACTTGAGGTTAGGAGTTCAAGATCAGCCTGGCCAGCATGGCAAAACTCTCTCTCTACTAAAAATACAAAAATTGGTCAGGTGTGGTGGAGCATTCCTGTGGTCCCAGCTACTCAGGAGGCTGAAGCAGGAGAGTCACTTGAGCCTGGGAGGTGGAGGTTGCGGTGAGCTGAGATTACACAACTGAGCTCCAGTCTGGGCAACAGAGCAAGAATCCGACTCAAAAACAAAAAACAACCCATCCCCCAACCCTGTGTCATTTTCTTTGAAGAGAAATATCTTCACATGGTTCAAATATAAAGAAGTATAAAATTATGTTTATTGAAAAATTTACCCTTCTTTTCTATCCCGTGTCAGCCTGGTTCCCATCTCCCCCAAGAGGTAAGCACTGGTGTCAACGCATTTATTCTTCTAAGGATTTTGTGTTTTTTCAAACATTCTCTTTCTTTTAAACAAATGGCAGCATTATGCACACTGTTAAAAGAGTATTTCAGAAATTGTTTAATATGCATTCTCCTTTATAGCTATATAATATTCCATTCAATGGATGTACTATGTTTAATAAATCCCCTGCTAATGAACAGTGAGGGTTTTCCCTCTTTTCCCTTGGCCAAATAATGCTTCAGAAAATTATGTGTATAAATACATTTGTGGGATAAATTTCTAGAAATGGAATTATTAACTGAAAGGGTATGTACATTTTTAAAATTATACAGTTCCTGATGATTTTTCTCTAAGGTTAAACAATTATAGTCCTATCAACAATAAATAAGAGTAACTATCTCTGTATTTACACCAATGATGTGTTATCAGACATGTAATTCTATAAGTGAAAAGTGGTATTTCGGTGTAGTTTTGATTTCCATTTCTTCAATGGAGGGAGGACATGCATGTTTCTAGGTTTATAGGTTATTCATATTTCCTGTTCTGTGTACTCTCATTCATACCTTTTGTCTCATTTTCTATTATGTTGATTATATTACCCTGTTAAAGCTAAACCCTTACCAAGCTCCACAAGGCCCTATGATGTGGTACCCAGGTGTGTAAAATTTTCTGTGGATTAGAAAATACAGGAGAAAATTTGTGATAGATAATAAAAATGGAAAAACAATGCCAACGCTTTCCAAAGGCTATGGCCTGGGCACTAACTTTTGCTTTAAAAGCTTCCTCATACTGGGAGTATTTCCTTGGGAAAATAATTGGATTTCGTAGTGGAAATTAGGAGAAAATATTTGTGTTAAGAAAACTCGTGTTATCATCTACTTTGATGGAAATCAACTTTTTTCCATTAAAAAAATATAATTATGTTACAGATTCAAGGGCAAGTGACTTCTGAAGTGACATAGCAAAGTGAATTGGGGATTGAAGCAGCTTTCTGGGTAGTGCAGGCTACCACCTCACCACCTCATCTGATATGTACATGTAATCCATAATTTTTTCTGAGAAGTTTAAATCACTATAGCAGTCAACTGTTTTCCAAAATTCATTCTTCTTTTCTTCTGCTCTACCGGATTATTTTCCTGGGCATGAAGAATTTTGCCATAGCTAAAATCAGTATTTCTCAGCTCCTTCTTACAGCTAGATGTGGCCATGCGATTACGTTTTGGCAATGGGATGTGAACACAATGATATGTGGCACATTCCAGTTTTGACCTAAAAGGACTGCATGTGAGCATCCATTGTGCCTTCTCCTTTTCCTCTGACTGGGATGTAGCTGTGATGGTAGGAGCTCGAGGAGCCACTTTGGACTCAGAGATGGAAATCCTGTGTGGACGGGTCCTGGACTTTGATGTAAAAATGCCTTATTTTAAACTACTGTATGTCGGACTCCTTTAATCACAGCATCTAAGACTATATTCCCATAAGTACAAAATCTTTGCTTCATAATAAAGTGCCTCCAAATGCGGTGACTTAAAAAACAATCATTTATTAGCTCCTGATGCTGTGGTTTGTCCAAGTGGCCTATGTTCATTTGAGCAGTTCTTTTGCAAGACTGGCCTGGGTTCACTCACATATCTGCAGGTAGCTGGTGGGTTTGCTAAGGGATAACTGGCTCTGGATGGCCTCATTCATGTGATTGACAGGGGCAATGGGAGCAACTGGGCTCCGTGTTTCTAGCAGTTAACAACTTCAGGTTTCTTCTCATGGTGGCTGGATTCCAAATGTAACCAGAGATAGCAAGTCCCAGGGAGCAATCACTTTTTACACCCCTGCTAGTGTTATACTTGGTAATGCCACACTGGCCAAAAAAAATAACAAACGGCCAAACCAAGAGTGAATGTGGGAAGGTGTATTTTTACAGCAGGGTTTCTGAACAGCAACACTACTGATATTGGAGCTGAAAAATTCTTTGTCCTGTGGGCTGTCCTGCGCGTTGTAGGACATTCAACAGCATCCCTGGCTTCTGCCTGTTGGATATCAGTAACAGTTCAGACCATAACCTTCCCACACCCCAAACCATAACACGGCATGGAAAAAATGCCAATGATCTCTGCGTGAAAAAAAAATTTCCTTCAGTTGAAAATAACTGGTTTACAGGAAGATGTGAATCTGGTGTAGACCTTTGAGGGCTGTTAATGAACAATCTGCCACATACAATTGACACAGTCAGCTTATTTTTCTTTGCTGTGTTGTTAACCTTAACTGCATAGACTGTTGCTAATTATCTCCACTGATGTATGTTTTTGAAAGGGTGTTTCTGGGTTCCAAGACTCAGCCCTTGTGTTTAGAGCTTGATGTTGTTTGTGATTCTGCTTTTTATACTTAGACTACTAGCAGAGAACTGGTTGCAGTTATTAGAAAATATCAGTATTGTGACATACTGGGTTATTATACCCAAACCTTTCCATCTTCTCTGTAATAATACATTTCTTCCTGCTATCAGGTAACTTACCATGCCTCATAGGAGGCAGACTAGACCTCCTTGCTCCATTGTCTTTGGACTTGGCCATGTGATTTGTTTTGGCTGATAGAGGGTAGGTATAAGTGAATGCCAATTCTGACAGAGGTTTTAAAAGGCTTTGCATGTTTCTGAAGGTCTCTCTTGTGCTCCTGCCTCTTGCCATGAGAGCAGCATGTCCCAGGTAAGAACTAATCCTTCTGCCTGACTCCCCATAGGAGGAGAAGACCTGAACTTGACCTACAGTCTGGAACAAAGACACACAGACACTGAGACCCACAAAGACACCCAGACCCACAGACACTGAGAAATGAAGCCTTATTGTTTTAAGACTTTGATATTCTGGAATTGACTGCTGCATCATTATAGTAAAAGCTGACAAATACAATTCTAATTTTTTATTAAGTTCTTTTTATTAAAAAAGTATATTGCCATTGTAGAAAAATTAGAAAATACAGGAAATTAAAATGAAGAAAAGAAATTGAGTAGAAAGACAGGCTCAAACAACAATGATGCAATTACATGTTTACTTACAATTGTGATAAGTTCTATGAAGGGAAAATCTGTATTCTAAAATCATATTAATATTTAAAAAGAGGGCATAGGCTGGGTGTGGTGGCTCATGCCTATAATCCCAGCCAAGGTGGGCAGATCACCTGAGGTCAGGAGTTCAAGACCAGCTTGGCCAACATGATCAAACCCCGTCTCTACTGAAAACACAAAAAATAGCTGGGTGTGGTGGCACACGCTTGTAATCCCACTGCTTGGGAGGCTGAGACAGCAGAATCATTGAACCCAGGAGGCAGAGGTTGCAGTGAGCCAAGAGCATGCCACTGCACTCTAGCCTGAGTGACAGAATGAGACCACCTCAAAGAAAACAACGAAAAAAGAGGGCATGATATAATCTAGAGTCAGGAAAATCTTTCCAAAAGAAATAATTTTACACATATCATGTATTAAATACATATAAACTATAATGCTGCATCTATTATAATAAACATATACTTTTATGTTACAAATACGTTAGTTCTCTTATATATGTATTTCTTATACACATTTCTCTCATACATAAGGTAATACACGTATAAGAGAACTGTTGCTGAATATAGTCTCTTCAACGGACAATATAAAATTAACTTCTTTCCACGTTAACAAACATGTTCTCACATCATTTATTTTTATTATTATTCTTTTTTCTGTTGAGATTTCTTTTATTTCTCTTGTAAAACAGAGTAGGGGTTAAATTGAGGGTATCGGATTTTGCAGCTTCAGCCCCTTGGGGCTCTTTTTTTTTTGAGATGGAGTTTCATTCGTGTTGCCCAAGCTGGAGTGCAATGGCACCATCTTGGTTCACTGCAACCGCCACCTCCTGGGTTCAAGAGATTCTCCTGCTTCAGCCTCCCAAGTAGCTGGGATTACAGACACCTGCCACCACGCACAGCTATTTTTTTTTTTTTAAGTAGAGAAAGGGTTTCACCATGTTGGCCAGGCTGGTCTCAACCTGACCTCAGGTGATCTGCCTGCCTCGGCCTCCCAAAGTACTGGGATACAGGCGTGAGCCACTGAGCCTAGCCAGGACTCTTTACCGGAGAAGTGGGAGAAGACACATAGTGGGGGAAGCATTCTTTTAATATGTAGGTGCTTCAGGGAGAGCAAAACTATTTCATTGGTATTCCCCCGCACCACTGGAACTGGTGCTTGGAATGGAAGGGAAGTGAGATCAGCCAATTAGTCACCAACACCATCATCACCATTGGCAGAGAGGTCCAGAGCAGACATCATGGAATCAGACACCTGCTGGCGATTTTATCTGCACATTTCCGCATCTTCTTCTTATTCTTCAGGGTGGATGCCAGAGCCTGGCCCTGTTGCAGGGGATCCGTCTCCATGATCCTCTGCAGCACTAGGCGGTGGTCCACTGAGCAGACATCCACCATATTGTTGTTCTTAGGGTGGTGGTTCACGTTGCATTTGGCCCACCCAATCTGATGATGATTCAAATTGGGGCAATACCCAGTGAGATCTCTGATCGTATATACAGTGGTTTTATTTTCAGTGGCATGTGCCTTTTTTTTTTTTTTTTGAGACGGAGTTTCGCTCTTGTTACCCAGGCTGGAGTGCAATGGCACGATCTCAGCTCACCACAACCTCCGCCTCCTGGGTTCAGGCAATTCGCCTGCCTCAGCCTCCTGAGTAGCTGGGATTACAGGCATGCGCCACCATGCCCAGCTAATTTTTTGTATTTTTAGTAGAGACGGGGTTTCACCATGTTGACCAGGACGGTCTTGGTCTATTGACCTCGTGATCCACCCACCTCGGCCTCCCAAAGTGCTGGGATTACAGGCTTGAGCCACTGCGCCTGGCTGGCATCTGCCTTTTTTATCATTGGACAATGGAGCAACTTGATCTCCATTTCAAGTGGGTCCATGTCACCCAACAGCTCATCAGATTCTCCAGCAGCCAAGCATTCCATGGTATCTTCATTGGCCAGAGCAGTATCCTCGATGTCAAAGACTGTGGTTATTTCCTTAACGATCTTAGCACTGAGATGGGTGGGCAGAGTGTGAGTAGGTGCTGGTGGCATATAGAAGCTGATTTTCCCGCTGACCCAGTCAGCTAGGACAGCTTTGGCCACCTGTTCCTGACTGTATAAGCCTCCCTTCTTCTTCCCCAAACAGTGTGCCACTGCAGTGAGAAAGTGCTCAGTGGTCTAGAACCCAGAGACACGGTAGTTGTTGGAAATCTGCTACAGGCTGCAGCACTGCAGGGTGGTTCTCACCGGGGTCACAGGGTCTGCCAGCTTCTGCACGTCGACGCAGTTACGTAGGATGGTGCCCACCTCTGAGTGGGGCCTTGGGACAATGCCTGGAGCATCCAGCAGCTGGATGAACTTGTCCAGGTGGACCTCCTGCATGAATTTGGTAATCCCAGGAATGGCTTCCACGCTGCCTGCATGGCTGCGCTTCTGCCTATTGATCAGGCTGCTCTTCTGAACATTGGGAAGACCCACAACGCTCACATGAATGTGGGTGCACACGTCACCAAGGCGACAATAGTTCTCCAGAACCTTCATGAGGTTTTTTTAGCTCCAAAGCAAGCTTTGCTTTACAGCAGTGACTCAGAGGCCTGATCTGCTGGTACACTGCAATGATTCAGGTATTTGACCTGATGCTGGGTATTGGCCTTGAAAGCCATGGTTGGCAACTCATTCTGAATGTAATCCAGCCATTTCTCCACAACCTCCTTGGGGACCAGGTCACTCTTGTTCAAGATAAGGACCAGCTTCTTGTTGCCTTGTGCTCTCAAGACAGCCTCCTCCATTTAATGGGACACTGGCATCCAGGACTTCCAGAATCTCATCAGAGTATTCCATCACCTTATGGAACTCCTCGTAATAAGCCTTCCTTGTGGCCTCGTCCTCCAGCCTAGGAAACATATTTAATTCCTGCAGAACTTCCTCCTTCTGCTCAAACTCCTGCTGGCATCTCAGGACATCCTGGCAGTCACTCGCGATGGTCCTGCGTTTTTGTCTTCCTTGCTCCCAGGCAGCTTGCTGCATCTCCCTCATCTCCTCAACCCTTTTCCTCTTTAATTCAGCCTCTCGATTGGCATGATCATTGGAGTGAACCAAATGAGGTGCAGAGGGCACTTTGGAGGTTGCTTTCTTCCCATTTTCCTTTGCAGGCTTCTTGTGGCCCTTCGAACTTTTACCTGGCTTTTTATTTTTGTGTCTAAGTTTCATCGTGATGACCAGCTTGAAAGCACATAGGTTCAAATCTGCTGGCTCTCTTCCTATACTTCCGGCGAGGTTGTGAGAAGAGTCAGCAACAAGACAACTCTGTTCGGCAGCAAATGCTCTCGCGCAGCTCGTCTTAGGCTTCCGGATCCCGGGCTGGGAGGCGCCCGCGCAGCTGGGCTCAGACTTCCGGATCCCGGGCTGGGAGGCGCCCGCGCAGCTGGGCTCAGACTTCCGGATCCCGGGCTGGGAGGCGCCCGCGCAGCTGGGCTCAGACTTCCGGATCCCGGGCTGGGAGGCGCCCGCGCAGCTGGGCTCAGACTTCCGGATCCCGGGCTGGGAGGCGCCCGCGCAGCTGGGCTCAGACTTCCGGATCCCGGTCTGGGAGGCGCCCGCGCAGCTGGGCTCAGACTTCCGGATCCCGGGCTGGGAGGCGCCCGCGCAGCTAGGCTCAGACTTCCGGATCCCGGTCTGGGAGGCGCCCGCGCAGCTAGGCTCAGACTTCCGGATCCCGGTCTGGGAGGCGCCCGCGCAGCTAGGCTCAGACTTCCGGATCCCGGGCTGGGAGGTGCCCGACTCCGCCCACTGTGCGTTCTCCGCTGGGGGCGTGCTTCTGACTGACAGCTTGCACCTGCCCGTCCCTTCCTCGCTGCCACGCTGGCCCCGCCCCCTGGCTGCCCCGTAGGTGAGGAAATAGTGGAGGAGATAGAGGGAGGACAGCGAAGTGACAGGGAAGAAGCGGCGGGTCGACTGGTGAGGCCATATACCCTGCTTGCAAGCCAAAATTTTGTCTGCGTGCATCTGTCTGGGGTTAAATATGCGCGCTCCCAAACCTCAGTAACCAGGCAGTCACCATGCCCGAATCAGACAAGGGTGGGGGATGGTGTCTTTGCCTGGAAGTTGGGGACCGCAGGGTGTGAGAAAATGGCCGCCTGGGTCACATGTCTGGCCGAGTATTCCCCACCTGAAGTGAATTGGTTAGCTGTTCACAACGACCTTCCCGGGTCCTTGGGCCCCAGACAATCCCTGAGCACTCCCAGCTCTTTCTGCATACGTTCAGATCTATGGCCAGACCCAATCTGAGCTGGAGCAGGAGCCAGAACAACTTAGAAGCCTCTCCTACCCGTCTGCCTTCCTGCCCTCCTACTCCGTCCTTCCGTCAGTCATGGAGCATTGTCCGCAGAAGGGAATGAATTTACATCTCTGGATTGGGGCAAGTAAGGGTTTCCGAAACCATCTCGGAGCTGGCTGGGAAGTGAGATCTCCCCCGGAAAACGGTAAATATCTCATCATTTATTTCAATGCCTGCCTCTGTGCCATTGATATACATGCGCCATGTTTTATTCAGCCAATCCTCTGATGGCCATTTGAGTTGATTTTCGTTTTTGGTCACTATGAACGATCTTGTAATGAACATTCTTGCAAGTACTCTAACTTGTTTGTTCAAGAGAAATAATTGTGGTGAAAATGAGAATATTATGTGCTGTGAAGCAAAATTCTATTACATATCCTGACCTTATATATCCCCTAAGGAAGCATAATGGAAATATTTATCTTTGAAGTAAAATTTCTCATATACCTCCAGCTACACTCAGTGAGTCATTCCTGAAGATCCATAGGGAAAATTTAGACTATATTTCTTGGATGAAGATTGATTGGTGGCAGACGGGCAGAATGTCGAGGGAGATCATATATATGTATAAAGTGGGAAAAGCTAGACTATCGCTTCTGCTTTTTCGAGTCAAGATGTGATCTGCTGTCATAATACTATATTGCTGGCTTGGCTTTTTTGTTTTTTCCGTCAGTGTGGTTATTGTTACTTCATCTGTGGCCTGTTTCCAAAAGCAATGAGTGAGCCCCCGCAAGATAATCACTAGAGTATCTGGTTCTTTCCTGACTAATAGGCCGGGGGAATGTACTAAACAAACAGTTCAGCTCCAACGTGTTGCAGGGGATTGAAACTGTCTGGAAGAAAATAAAATATAACAAAATAATATCATCCATGTGATTCATCTTATGCAGGACAATGAAGTCTGACATTCCTATTTCGTTTAAGAAGAGGTAATTTCAAATTGTACATTCAGTGAGGATATAAAATGTAATTTTGGCAGGTTTCATGATGTAAAGTTACAGTGTGGTTTTGGGGGTTTATAATATGGATGACTCTATTTACCTTGTGGCTGACTGTGAGGTAAACTTGAAAATATGTGTTCATATTACATTCATTTACTATGAGCAAATACTTTTGGGCTGTGAACCCAAGGGGAGAAAGTGGTAAAATGGCTTATTGTGCCTCATGAGTTTCAGTTTACTAGGGTAATATGAACATGGCGGAGGCACATTTGTTATCTGGGTAGTTATAACATCAGTGGTTACATTTAATTAAATGACTGTCAAAAATGGGATTATTTAGGAAGCATTTCTTCTTCTTTTTGGTTAAACCTGGATTGACTCACATGTTGAAGCATTTTTGTACAGAAGAATGATGGAATCCAACAGCTCTCTATTTTAAGTCAGTGACTGAATCAGTGAGTGGTACTCATAAGAAAAAATAGAAGCTAGTTCTTCAGGGGAAATTATTTCTTTCCTTTACTCAGATATTAGACTCTTGCTCTCACATGACACATGGGGGTACATGATCATAGTTCACTTAAGCCTTGAACTCCTGGACTCACAGGATCCTCTGCCTCAAGCTCCCAAGTATCTGGGATTATAGGTGTAATTCCATTTTTCTTTGGAAAGGGTCAGAAGATGAGAAGACAAATGTTCAGTGTCCTCAGAAATCCTGCTCCATTTAAACAGTGAAATTATGGTTATAATGCTTTATTCCGTGTTCAGTGCAAGTTTAACACAGCTTTCTAAACGGTGACTTGGTGACATTCAAACCAACAGCAATGACAGGGGCTCGGAGAGGTGAATGACCACTCTGTCCTCTAAAAGGAAGCCTTTATTACCCAAGTTTACTGTCCTCTCAGAAAATCGTCAACCAAACGCACTTTATTCTTTCAACAAATGTGTACTGAGTGTTCCCCAAGTGTCTTTGGAGCCTGTGACTTTTTGAAGCTTAAGGTCTGATGGGAGAGATAGAAAATATACAGGTTTTTAAAAAAATGAAGAGTAAGTCTATGAAAGCAGTAATAGTAGAATACAGAAATGGAGAATTGGGGCGGGGGTGGGATGCGAGGAAGAACACATTTAAATAGGGTGAGGAAGAAAGCCTCTCAGCTAAAGGCTGAATATGCATCAGAATCACATGGGGGTTTGTTAACAGGGAAGCCTGGTGCACCCATTTCTAATTCAGGTCTGAATTGAGAGGCCCAAGAATTTGCATTTCTCATTCCCAGGAGACGCCAGTGCTAATGGCCCAGGCCCACACATTTGAGGGTCACTGCTCTAAACAAAAGTAGGTGAGCCTTAATCACAACTGAGTAGCAGACTCACCTGAGGAGCTTTCAAAAATCCTACTGCCCCGGCCATACTCCAGGCCAGTTAAAAAAAAAACTCTGAAAGCAGAACCTAGGCAGTAGTATTTTTCAAAGGGTCCCAAGTGTTTCCAATGGGGCAGCCAAGCTTGAGACTCACAGTTGTGGGCCTTTCCTTCCGAATTCTGCAGGACACAACAGTAGCAACAGTATCGCCTGGGAGCATCTTAGAATGCAGAATCTCGGCCGGGCGCGGTGGCTCAAGCCTGTAATCCCAGCACTTTGGGAGGCCGAGGCGGGTGGATCACGAGGTCAACAGATCGAGACCATCTTGGTCAACATGGTGAAACCCCGGCTCTACTAAAATTACAAAAAATTAGCTGGGCACGGTGGTGCGTGCCTGTAATCCCAGCTGCTCGGGAGGCTGAGGCAGGAGAATTGCCTGAACCCAGGAGGCGGAGATTGCGGTGAGCCGAGATCGCGCCATTGCACTCCAGCCTGGGTAACAAGAGCGAAACTCCGTCTCAAAAAAAAAAAAAAAAAAAAAAAGAATGCAGAATCTCAGGCCCCAACCCAAGCTGCTGAGTCAGCCCCTGCATCTAAACAAGCAAATGTCTCAAGCCCCTATGAACACTGAGGGCTCTGCAGAGAAATCAAACAGTGAGAAGCAAGTCCAGCTGAGAGATTTGGTGATGCTCACTGCAGGGTAAGAACCAAATATCTGCAGAAACTGGAAACTTGCTGCTGGTACTGACTCACTGGAGAGCGTGCGAAAGGAAGAGATTCTCAGATCAGGCAATAAAATATGCTCATGAACGAATCCACATATCAACGTTGATTCGTAATATGTCCAAACAGAGTTTCTTGCAATAAGCCTTTCACTTAAAAGATCAAATTGAGGGTGAGCACAGTGGCTCACCCTGTAATTCCAGCACATTGAGAGGCCAAGGCAGGAGGATTGCTTGAGCCCAGGATTTAGAAAGCAGCAACACAGTAAGACCCCATTTGTAAAAAAGATTTAAAATTTTGGCTGGGCGTGGTGGCGCATGCCTGTACTCCCAGCACTTTGGGAGGCCAAGGTGGGCGGATCACCTGAGGTCAGGAGTTTGAGACCAGCCTGGCCAACACGGTGAATCCCCGTTGCTACTAAAAATACAAAAATTAGCTGGGTGTGGTGGTAGGTGCCTCTAATCCCAACTACTGGGGTGGCTGAGGTAGGGGAATCACTTGAACCTGGGAGGCAGAGGTTGAGATTGCAGTGAGCTGAGATCACACCACTGTACTCCAGCCTGGGAGACAGAGCAAGACTTCATCTCAACAACAACAACAATTATCCGGGTGTGGTGACACATGCCGTTAGCCCCAGCTGCTTGGGAGGCTTTGGTAGAGAGGTTCACTCAAGCCCAGGATTTGGAGGCTGTGATTGTGCCACTGTACTAGAGCCTAGCAGCAGAGTAAAATTGTCTCTAAAAAAGAAAAATCAGAATAGAATCATACTGAGAAGAAATGCATTTTAAATCTTGAGATGGATGAATTCCTTGGAGTATTAAAACAATTGAATGTGCTTAAAATACCAGTAGCTACAATCTTTATACCTTGTAGCACCAAGAAGAGCAACCGCCTTCGTGCAGGGAAGGCTGCCAGAGAAATTCCATCTGTGACACGGCACTTCATTTGGCCTCCCCGGCTCACAGCATCACCATTTTTCAGAAGCTGTTTGGTTAACCTTAAGGGTGATATGAAAGTGCCAGATATGAGGTTCTGATCTTACCAAAAAAAAAAAAAAAAAAAAAAAAAAAAAAAGTCAGCAAACAGCAACAACAGCAACAAAGCCAGAAGCAGCTCAGATGGTAGAAAATTAGCAAAAGAGACACAGGTGTAGCAAAGTTAGTGGTTAGGCACAGGGGCGCTAGAGCCCAGGCTTGTGGGTTCAGATCGGGGCTGTGCCACTTACAGCTGTGTGTCCTTAGCAAGTGACTTCATCTTTCTGTACTTCATTTTCTTCATTTCTAAAGTGAGGATGACTATGATAGTCCCTACCTCCAGGGTTTTTAAGAGGATATAATGAGTTGTTATGTGTCAAGCTTTTAATTCTGGCTGACCGTAGTTGCTATATTATAATTATTTAATGCACAGGTTAAGAAATGTAAGGACTTATATTGTTTTTTATATTTTTATTTTTTAGAGGGAGAGGTCTTGCTCTGTTGCCCAGGCTGGCCTTGACCTTCTGTCCTCAAGCAATCATCCTACTCAGCTTACATGTAGCTGAGGATTTATATTCTTCTGCATAGCTCAACCCCAGGAAAAACCTGAAAGATAGTATCTCAAGCTCTGAGACTGTGGTTGAGTCAATTTGGTGAATATGTTTCTCTAAAGAGGATGGTACATAACTCTCAGTTGTGTAGCTGAGTAACAGGAAGTAAGATGTCATTTAGAACAATGATAAAAAGGACATAAATTAATGAAGGGGACTATTTTTAAAAAAGGAAAAAAATGCTAACAGTCAATGAGTCAATAATAACCCTGATAGTTAACAATAATCAATGAGGGGGTCAGAAGAGCCCCAGTTCTAGAGAAAAGAGTTGGATACACTAAATTCAGGAAAAAAAAAAAGACTTTTGTAGACTATGTACACACACAGAATTTATATTAGAATATTATTTTTAAATACTCTTAACAGACAAAATGAAAAATAAAGCTCCCCCCAACCCTTCTTTGGTAAATGGAAGGAGATGTCCCCAGTAGCCATATTAAGAGGGTGTCCCTGGTCTCGAGGTTCTATCTCTTGGGGAATTGGGTCCACCCAGCCACACCATCCAAACATACTAGAAACATACACAGGAAAATATAACCCA